AGCATGAGGCAGTCTCCATGGCGTGTCGTCCGGGTAGACGAGTCGTTTTTGTCCGATCCAAAGTGCACAGTATATGCTTGACCAAACTTCCGCAGGATTTTTAGGACGGATACTTGAATTTTGGGTATTTGATTTTTTTGGGTTTTGCCCTCAAGTTCATGTGAATCAAACATTATCGTTTTAATGCACTCTTGTAGGTGTTGCTTTGCTCTATCTGATGATATGTTTGCCACAATGTTATGATTACACAGCGTGATCGCGTAAAAAACTTGCATTGTTTCCCAGTCAATCTAATAATTTTGTGGCCCAAACCAAGACATGCCCAGGCGGCAGCTCAACTCTTGTGTTCGCGGATACGATATTCGTTCCCAAACTGGACCTAGCATCGTAAGAACGGACGACCTGCCTCTTGCTCGAGTATTTCATACTATTTCGTTTTGCGAAAGCATGCAGGCATGAGCAAGTCGTCCGTTAGTAAGATCCTGGGGTCCGTCTGGAGGCGATCCCAGCCTGTGTGCATGCGCTGCCGCGTGGGCGTCTTAGTACCCTAATACGACCCTAGGACCCTAAAGACTTTCCACGTGAGATCCCCATAAGTCCAGAGTTGCATGGATGCTGCCTTCTACACCATGCGCGCACATTGAGAAGTTTTGTCCTATTATTGAAAGATTGGTGCTCGTCACCCTAAGGAGAGTTGCAGCAAAGCTGTGGCATTTCTAGAAACTTCGTGGGGACAACAAAAATTGTTGAATGAAGGCTATGTATAAGAGTTTTTGGCGGCAATAAGTGAAGTGTAGGCCTAAACTTCCACAGATATGCGATGTCTTTCGATTGCTTTCCTCTCTGGATATTTCAGGCGTCGATGAGGAGAGAGAACAGAAGAAGTGCTACAAAATTTGCGTTTTTGAAGACAGAAGCGCGATGATTCAAAAAGTTGTTTGAAAACCCAATGAATTGATGCACAAGCTACCGGTAGCGTTTTGCGCGGGCAATGCACATTTTCTACGCTGAGCGCGCAGTACATATAGTTTATTTTTCTCATAGCTAAGTCCCAAATGAGGACTGCGGTCAGTCGGTCACTAATCCAGCAAACAGTGCTCTGTCATTACTTCCGAAGCGATCTCACCCTCGTACTCTGGTTTGTGAGACAGACTGTAAAACTAAAATTTCAAGATATCCAGTTTGCCAGATTGACTGCTGGGAAATGGGCTGGGAATTATCGAGAATTATCGAAAACTGCTACTGCAGATACAAGCACATGGTTGAGTGCCGATACACACTTACATACGTACCATTGCGTATGCCTTCCTCGTATTTGGACTTATGATTTATGGATATCTCATAGTAGAGCTCCTTCATGACTCTCAATTCGGATTTCTGTAAAATAAAGATGACTTTGAAACATGAGTTATTCTGCATAGGTTATAATGAATACCTGTATCATAGTCCACATCGACATGCGATCCAGGAGAATTTTGTATTTTCCCATTTTCACTAGCTTGACCAACTCTTCGAAAGCTGCGAATCAGTAGAGTAAATGAAGCTCTAACATCGCACTTTAACTCATGTAATGAATCAAATGCCTGTTTTCTGTTTGAGTGTGGCTATCTTTTTATCGGGGTGCTGCATAAGTTCCGTCCGTCTGCGTTTTTTACAAAGTATCATAACTTCTTTCAAAAGCAACTTTTTTCGATAAACTTGACTTCTTCGGATTAGGCATAGCTTTGCCTATGAAATTGATATTATTACCAGGGTTGGGCGTGGGGTCAGGCGCGCCTGACCTGGGG